TTTATCTCACTCGCGCGAATTTGGATATAGTATTTTGAAGGTTAGAATTGCGTTAGGTGACTGGCACTCATTTAAGTCTGGTAGTTAGTGCAACGGTGGTATTTGAGCTCGTGTCACATTAGGTTTACCAATATATTCATTATTTTATGAAATTTTTTTCAATTTTACTCCGTGGCTATGTTAATCCACTGACTTGAACCACCGAATATACTTTAGTATTCTACGTTTTTCCGCTTACAGGTCTACCCAGACGGAAAATAGAAGGGGGAATGCAGTGGTACATATAAGGATGAACAAGGAAAAAAAATAAAATTACATCGTGGAGAAGATTTGTAGCTCAGGATGGGAATGATAGTGTTTTGGTTTTCTCTGAGCTTTGATGTCTTGAATGTTTCATCACTAGGCTTGGTTACATCTTCAGCATTAACTTCATGAAAAAGGTGAAGTATAGTCAGCGTTACACGAACCTTTAGAATTGTTTTTGTTGACCCTGGGTGTAATCCAATTGTACGTTATGAATGAATTTTTTTTATCACACTGACCTCTTTGATCTTTAGATTCCTTCATTGTCTGCAATGCCTTCAGACAATCACGGTCGCAAATTTGACTGGTAGAAAATGGGAATCTTCCAAAAGCAGGTTCCAAAACTTCAAGAGAATTTCTAGAAGCATGGCATTCAAACGAAATGTCAATCAACATACTGGACATAGACCCAATCTACAGTCTACTTAGGAAGAAAACAGTCACTCATTAACCAAGGGCAAATTTATCGGACAAATCAATAATGATGTGTAGTGTGTCAACAACAAACAACAGAGAATATCGAGTGACGTGACTAAAGGAAATTTAAGGTCAAAGAGGTCAGAGTGATAAAAAATTTCTTCCCTTTACAACTGGATTACGTCCAGGGTCAACAAATACACTACCTAGACATTCGTGTAACGTTCGATTATACTTCGCTTCTTTACGCAGATATCACCAAGCCTTGTGATGAAACGTTCACGCCTAAATATCAAAGCTCAGAGCACACGAAACAACCGTTAAAAATTACATGTATTTATCGGTATTTCCCTATTGTTTTGCCTTTGCTGACGTAAGTGGTCGCTCTAAAGCTTTAGAGAAATGATGTGCATAATGACAAACTGTTTCTGACCACTTGTTTGTGAGAGTGTCCAACACCTGATGACTCTCTGTGGTCCAATTTCTTTTGCATGGTCCCCTATTGTTTCCTCGTAGCTTGTACTGCGTATCCATCTTCGGTACAACTGCTTTGGCAGTAACATTTGCAGTGATATTTTTGTCGGTGAAGCGAGAAATGTAATAGTTTTCACTCCATCGGAACCGGATTCCTTGCCTACAGTTCCTTTATATCACTAGGGGCTGCCTCTTTATGCCAAATTCTTTTTTAGGATCTACTCTGTAATGAATATACACTCAAATATCATATTCAAATTTTTAGTTTGAGGATAAAGGGCTGCGACTTTGTAGTAATCTTTTTCTGTTTGACACATGTGTTTGTCCAGCCCTATTTTGAACAGGTCAGTTGATAACGGGAAAACTGCTTCTTCATGGAGTCAGTTCCAGATATTGATTACTCGATGCAAAAACTAGTTCCTTACAGAGACGACGTTCACCTTTTTGGTTTTATACTTCTACTGCGTCCTCCGAGGTATTCTGACCTGGTGGGAGGGAAAAGAAAAGAAAGGTCAGGTTTGAAGTTATTTCTTACAATCCTGTATAGCAGGACTGGATCTCCCCTCTTTCTGCAATACGATAAAAAAGGTTTAGCTCCTTAGGTCGATCTTTGTAGGTCCGGTCAGCCATCGCAGGACTCATAAAAGTGGCCAACCTTCTGAATTCTTTCCAGGTCTGAGTCACTTTTCGGGCAGGTATATGTCGCATGTGTACAGTTTTCTAGTTTAAACCTAACCACTGATGTGTATAAGGTGGTGAACATACCACCACATTTTTGTGAACTTAACGTGTATTGCCGTGTCCTAAAACCGCGTGCTGCCACCAGTCGACAGTGCACTATGGTCTCCAACTCATGACTTACTGTGACTCCTGGGTAATTGTGTGTCAATACTGAGGTTATGTGAGACCCATCAATATCGCAGGTGTTTATGTTTGTGTGCCCCGTGTGCCCGCTCACACGCTTTCTTTCTAATCCTCATCAATAACAGGACCAGACATTACTATATAACGGTCCAATATTCCATATCTCGTATCAGAACATCACGAGGGTAGACGTTAACGTGGAAAATAAAGAACTGGAGAATCGGTCAAAAGTAGTAACAAGTAGTAAAATATAGGTTATAACGATTAAGATGAGGACAATGTGTGAATGCATATGCACCAAAGATTGGTTCTGAGCCATATCACCTAGTCTTCAAACACTAGTTTCTGTTGTCACATGGACGCCAACCGGTAAATCTACATTTCCGTACACGGCCGGCTCTGACCATCAGTCAAAGACTTTATGCAATCATGCTATGTTTTAGTCTGACTGCCCTTAAGCTTTTTCCAACCTGAACCTACTTCAGCTAACATTGCAGGATGAGGTAGATGGTGGCTGGGCAGGTGTAACAGTGTAAAGTGCAGGGTTCTCTATTTTTATCCGGTGAGTACCACAGCCTTTGTGTGTGATTTTGTGTTAGCATTTCGGAGATCATTTTTTGTCCAGTAGTTGTTAGTTCACCAGTGTAAATCATCAGTGTTTGGTTGTTCGTAAAAACTTTTAAAGCTGTTAGTTATGATGTTCCTCAGTTTTCGTCTCATCATTTATCGTTGGAATTATCAAACAAAATGAATATATTGTCTTGTGGACCATTTGTTTTCGATTTATGCGTGATTTAGATTCTACCTGACTATGCTTCTATTGAGTGCATTGTCTGTGATCTCTACACATTTTTCACATGCCAGGTCTATTGTAGTTCGTTTAACTTAGCTGACCGACTGCATTTCTAATTCAGTCGGTTAGTGCTCAGTACTCTACAGCTATTTCTGTTGCTATTTAATCATTTGTGGTTTACTTGCTAAATACTTGATTTGCTGTGAAGGTGTAATAAAAACTGATTTCTGTCCTATTAAATTTTATCACCCTGAAATTGCGATTGTACCTTTTTTCTAGAATACATTGTATCCTCACTTATCAAATTTTTATCACTCGTTCTTATGATTCTATTTATTCTACAATTGTAATAATAAAACATGAATTAACTACCTTATTGGCGTATGGTTGCAGATTTTTCGGAGAAATTCAGGGTTGTTGATGGAGATTAGAAGGGAATTTAGGTGGCGGTTGGGTTCAAATCAGCAGCTTTTGGTGGTAATTTGAATTCTTACCTGGTTAGAAGATAGGAGTTAAATTTTTCAGTTTGAGCTGCGTAGATAAGTGTGGGTTACGTGGATGAGGTCCTTTAGATGGTTATAGATGATTGGAGATCCTTGCTGACATCCACCAGGATGGTTCAGAATTACTCACTGCGTATAGTTTTCAAATTTCTGAACATTTTGTTAACCTTCGTTTATTTATTCTCTTCTCATACACTCATCCACTTCAGTATCATTCTTTTCTGTCTACTTCGTCTTACTGCAATGTTGCACAGGGTGGCAGTTTAAAGTGGAGCACTCATGTTCAAGATAATAAATCAATTCGGTCTATTTTTTTCTTGATAGGGTGCTGGTTTGGCATTTTGAAGACACTGTTTCGAGTCCTCAAATAAAGATTGTTTCTTTCTGGAAACACAATGGTTTCCCGAAATAGTTACTACCTAGTAGTTAATACTGTTTTATTATTAGAAAATGCATTTATTTATTGTTAGGTTGATTTAAACTAGATTTTCAAGGCGATAAAAATCAATCTATCAGTGGTCAAGTTCCTTAATGTATCTGGATAGATATTTTTATAAACACCATAAGAAATGCTGTGCTATGTATTTTTGGTCGATTGTTGTTGATTGCTATAGCTGCTAGTAGCTTCGTTAGTCGTCATTTTCTTGTCTTAGTCGTAATCGTAGTTAGTTCGGACAGGGGACAAGATTTTATATTCTGCGACTAAACTTTAGCACCCTTCTCTCAGTACCTGACATGCCATTTTAAATCACAACCTGATATGTATGTCTTTTAACTGTGACTATTTCAGATAGCGTATAAGATCCGCCTGAAATGCTGTGAAAATCATGGAAAGCGATAAAGCAAAGGAATTACTGAGGAATAGCTGAAAATACACCCTCTAAATATTGTGGAATCACAAGAGGCAGCTTATCTTTAAATGGCCTAACAGTGAACATCAAATTTTATGTTGTATACTAGACACAAAATGTTGTAGTTTCATTTGAATTAGGTGGTTCTTGTGTCAAAATCATTACTCACTGAATTATAGTTTACAAGTAACATGGACATTCGCATATAGTTACTATGTCGTCAGTGAATTCCTGTCTTTATTTCCCACTTCTACTGCAATTATCTAGATTTTGATCGATTTCCGAACCTATTATAATTTAAGTATTTTTCATTAGAATGCTTGGAAATTTTAAATGTTTTCTGCCCTAATTTAGCTTCATGATTTTCGGTGAGTCTTCATTCAAATCAAAAGTAGAAGCCAAGGCGTTCTTGAAGCATTTGTGTGATCAACAAATAATAGTTCATGTATCAGATGGTCGGAAATATATCGGAGGCTTTTGGTGCACTGATAATGTCGGAAATATTGTAATGGGTTCTTGCACAGAATATCCAGCGCCTTCTGATTCATTATTTGATAATTTAGAAAGAAATTTTTCTACTGTTGTCATCCCTGGACAGCACATAACCAAAGTTGAATGTTCGAGTAGTTTGCTAACAAATTAAATTAAAATAAAACAGTCTTATCGAGTCAATTTCTTCTTTGTTCTTGTTTTCGTTTTATGTAATTTACCATATTCTTTTCTCTTATCAGTGGGCGAAGGCGAATGTTATGCAGATTTAATAATTAGAACGTTTGTAATATACGTTGGGTTCAGATGTACTTACCAAGACGAAATAAAGAAATGGTTATGAAAATTATTATCGTTGTTTCCGCTTACTGGTAAGGCGTATTTTACCATTTTAATCAGTTCGTTAATTTTCTCTCATATAAGGTTTATTTCTATCTCATTGGTATTTATCAATAAATGGTTACTGAGTGATACATCTGTGTCGGTTAGTGTTTGTTTCTGAAATAATGAATTACTAAACAAAAACATATTTTTATTAGCTTGAGGCACCATTATTTATTACATGGTTTCAATGCGCAGTTACAGCGCTCCTATGTTATTTTGCATCTTATGCAGCTCTGTTGTTACCTAGTCGTGTAAAGTTCCCACAGTTAAACTTTTCCATCAGGACTTCGATTGAAGTAGGTTATATTTTCTATAATGAATTGATTACTTCATAGGTTTTACCACTGTCCATTATATTTGTTGCAATGGTCAGTTCCAATAATTTGTGCTTGAAGTATTTGAGTGTTTCGTTTTACTTTTTGGCGCGATCATTACTACAATTTTCAATGTCGTAAGTGATTTATATATTGCCGGTTATTAGTTCAAAATTGTATCCATTCACCTATCTATTTTAATTGCATTGATAATCAATTTTTATGTTTCCTGCGATTATGTGTTATGTGATGTGCAAATAACCTTGACGCTTTGAAAAGAGGAAGATCTGCATAGTTCTTTCAAATATTGGTTTAGCTTACTATGCCAATCGTTATTCTTGACAAAAAGTTTGGGTTAGAAATCACTTCCATTTGGCAGTATCTACTACTACAAATTGAACCGATTATAGGTCATAAAAATCTTTTTTAATAAACGTATTGATTAGCAACATAGTTACCTATTGGTTTTGGAAATGACTCGTTGAGGTTTGTTTACCTTCTTAGAGTGCGTACTGAAATTTCTGTCATGACTGTCGCGTTTAGAATTCAACTCAAACTGCGAATTTACCCATAGCCTCAGTACTTTTATCCGCTTTCGAAATATGCGCTGCTATTTTTCAACCTGTTTTGTGATTATTGTTGCCGTTACAATGTGTTTTGTTATTCTGTACAAAATACCAAACAGATGGACGTCAAATAGTCACGAATCGTATGTTTTTTTTTGTTTTATTCGTCGTGAGGACTGACTGACTGAAAGAATCAGTGTACAACCTCGCATAAAAGTGCATTGACTCAAGTTGCTACACTTCACAATAGTACACAAAGAACGAGTGGATTGAAAAAGTGACATCAAAGTAGATAAAGTTATGTGAGAGAATAAACAATTTGAAGGTAAAGATTAGTACGAATATATAAGCTTCAGTAGACGTCAAGGACTGAGTACATCTGCGCCATTGTGAAAGATTTGCAGCCGTCACCAAGACCCTTCAGGTACTGATTCTTACTGTCTATCTGCCTATGTTAACATCTGTCTATATATGGTCAATTCATTGTTTAATTTACGCTGTCGTGAATTGGATAAAGCATATGTAACCGACTTTTATTCGCAAGCTACTTTCGATACACTATTTCATGTACCTTTCCTACTTGTCTTCTTTGTTATGTAAACGATTTATTTGCCTTCTATACCTTACATAGTATTTAGGCTTTGGAGAATCCACTTAGTGTTAATGAATGTGGATGCTATAAGAACGTGCTTCAGTTGGTTTAAATAAATTCCTTTTCTTCAGTTTTTACGCCACCTGTATCGATGGATTACTGGATTCTTTGTTTACGTGAATATTTAGGTCGTTGTTGGTCGAATAAGCGATCTAGATTTCTAGCCGTTGGCATGATAAAAATGTCATGGATACACAACTTGAATGGTTAAAAAAATATTATCTAAATTCATCTTTCAGCACTAAGCCAGAATTCATTCATGACAATTAGCTTTATTATTTCTTTTCTATAGGTCTTTACCTATGTGCTTTTGAATACGAAGACTTCAGCTAAGGCATTGGTTTGTTGTGCTGTCATTATTGTCGGATATAGTGCTGGAGTAATTATTGAAGGCAACTTAGGTAAATTTACCTTATCTTCTTATATGCGTAAATCTTTGTTTATTGTTGGGATTAGGTAATCTCACAATTCTTATTTTATGATATGTAAATCCTACTTTGGAAAAAGTCTAGTCAGTAATACAAAACTTCAAGTTTAGGGTCGATGTACGAAATGAAGTAGTTGTTATTTTCTTAACCATGCAACGCTGTGCCTAACTTCAGACATGGACATTTAGATCGGACATACTTTCAACAACTTTGGAAGTATCTGTGCAATAATTTGTTATCGTTGCGTAACATCTAGTGTTCAGTTCACCGAAACTCACTCATCAAGTGATTGGATGCATTTTTGGTATAGACTGGAATTATCAGTTACCTTCAATGTCTCAAAAATAGGGCAACTGAAGTTATCAAATTGCAAATCTCTTGTCTTTCTGTTCACGTTTACTTTATCTTTAATTGTTTCCAGTAGTTATTTATTCTACGGAACGTATTCTAATTGTCATTTCATTGGAATGATTCGTAACTGCAGATCACCAATAGATTACTTCAGTTTATATTTTAAAATTAATGGTTATAGATATGTGTTGTGTAACGTAAATACAAATGCAAGGCCAGTTTCGTTATTTACTGCAGCACATCTGAGCAGTCTTTGGATTCTTAAAAATGCATCAACAAAGCCATATTTCCCGTGACATTGCTGTTGACAGAATAGTACTAAAGTAACGAAAATAGCAAACACCTTAAAACTTGGCCACAGTTACTAGCATTATCTTGTTAGTCAATTCACCGAATTTGTTTAAAAGCTTTGTCGTTGCACTTATTCTAAACGCTAACGTGTACCCGTTAGTGAGTAAGAGTATGACCAACCAGCTAGGATGGTAGTAATCTTTTCACAAAGTTGTAACTGACTGAGGGCTTCTGAAAGGTGCAGGACCGTGTGCATCTTTATAAGCTTGAAACAAAACAATACAATATTCATCTCAATCTGTAAGACTAATGCAGATATTTGGGTTACAGTTTTGGTACTTGTTTCCCTGTTTCACATAAAGCTTATTATTATCTGTGGGAGTACACACACCAGTATCATCACAATTACTACCATTACCATGTTTATAATTCATCTTCAGGTTCGTTAAGTTGGATTGGCCTAATATTCGGTATCGCATCCAGTGTTACTTGTGCATTGAATTCAATTTATACAGCGAAGTGTTTACCAAAGGTTGAGGGAAGCGTATGGAGACTTACATTTTACAATAATCTGAATTCTATATTTTTGTCGATTCCTATCATTGGTATTATGGAGTATCAACCGATTAAGGAGCAGATCTCTAATACCAGGTAGGCAAATGATATATATATATATATATATATATATATATATATATATATATATATATATATATATATATATATATATATATATAATGGATTTAATGACGAACTAAAGAACATTTCGTGTAAAACAAAACATCTGACATCTATACTTCTGCATTATGTAATTTGTTCAGTTCAAAAAGACTCATCTGTCTGTTATCTGTATTTCAGACACTAACATGCTAAGTCGCGTAATTATTCTCTTGTATTATTTTAAGAAAATGCTTAGTGTAGACATTCCAAGCTGTGAGTATTCAGCTTATTATAAGAGATTTTAGTGAAACTAAACACAATGATTCATCCGGGTATGTGGTTCACTGGGCTAGTTTACTGTAGTGAAGTTAATCATGTATAGGTTCATTTAGCAGTCTACATTTATAGTGTGAAGACTTGCGATACTAAACGGTTGTCAAGGTGGAAGAAGATCGAGGATGACCTGAACCTGAAACCCAATAATTGATATTGTAATAAGAAAGGCAATGGACCACGTTTTTTCTAGGTAGGATTTTCAACACTTCTTTGGCAAGGCTGAAATTCAAGCCTATGAACTCACTTTCGAACATTTTATTGGTAAGAGGATATTATCAATGCATCTGTGTGAAAGTTTAATCTACCAAGTAACATGTATTATCCATGAGGTCAAGCACATAAGATCATGGTTTCGGTATGATCCGAAATTTAACTCAATCTATACAGTTTGTAATTCCACAATAGGCAATCACACAAACACAGATTCTACATACTCGTTCCATTCGTATAACAACCAATAAAAAGTCATAAAAATCAGTGCAACAATTCACGTTTATTCTTATGTTTTACTGAAAGTCATTGGGGATGCATTATTTAGGCTGTTGGTTTGTGGGACCAAATTAGAAATTTTGCACAGCTGGAAACATTTTAAATGGTATAATGAAGACTGCCTTTTAGGAAATCGTGATATTTCTTAGCAGCTTATTCAGGTCACCAAAGCGTTAAAGCATGACTAAATTTGGAATCATGAACTCTATCAAAGTCGAATAGAATCGAAATCTTTTTGGCAACCTTGTGCCCTTTCATACAGTGGCAGTATGCCACCCCTCTTGTGTGAGGGCTATTGATACCCCTGACTGCCTTAACCTTGGTAGGCAGATTGGTGTTGGAACGCATAGTTCACTGGTTGAAAGTCAACTCACAGAACCAATGAGACATAACCCTATTAAGATTGTTTATCTAGAGGGATGCTCATTTCTTTTGACCTGTAGTCACACTATTGAGTTTTCAGTCAATATTAACAGGGTACCTGGCACTATTACATAATACTCCAAGTCGCCATACCTCACTCCAGAACGTCAGGATACAAGCTAACGAAACAGAAGTCAAAGAAACGAACATTCAGTCAAAAGTCTAGAGAAACCTATGGAGAAAAGGAGAAGAATATAAAATGATGATAATGTGATTTAGCAGCTAGGCCAAAGATATGGTGTGGATGCATCTGTGTCATTCTAATCTTTACCGCATCAACACCCAACTCATACAGCAGGAATGACTCAGCTCCTATTTTTCGTTATTATTAATCTCCATTTTCACTAGTACCAAGAAAGTACGAATTTGTCTGTTCATAATAAAACCAAGTCTATTTGTTTTATACCCACCTTGAAATGTGAATTATGTTTGATACATCATCTAATTATTAGAACTATTTCTGAAGTAAACTAGTTTGGGATTATAGTTGGTAATATTGTTCATGATAGTATTTCTGCTAGTAGGGGGGTTCTTAAGACGGGTTCCTTTTTTCTAGGGATTCATGATGCTGATGTACATGTTTTAATAGTTGTTGATTATTCATCTTTAAAAGATAACGTTATCGAAAAGAAAATTTTCTTTACTGAGTTATTTCTTCTTTACTTCAACAAAATCACCGCAAACCCCGTCATTCTGTTCCTACCCTAAGTGATGATCTACCTTGCTGCCTAAAACTCGTGACTATAAAATCCCCGATTGGTTTTCGCTGTTTTGAACTACTTTTTGTAGAGTCGAACATACAGCACAAAAGCTTGTCTCATCTTACTATTCATCCGTGAAATATAGCCACTAAGACTATTTAATGTAGAAAGGTTCCGAGTGTCCAACCACTGTTGGATTTGTACCATTACTGACGTTTTTTTGAACTGTCACGTAAGGAACATAGGGATTAGGTGTAGTGTTAAGCAAAAAAAGTTAAGTCACTTTATGAGACTGTAAATCTTCGTTGACTGAGGTTGGTGGGGAATATGTAATGTAATCCCAGCCACTGTACACCTCATCGCTGTGTATCAGCTGTAGTAGGGTCAAGTTGGACAGACCAGAACGTGATATCATCCAGTATTTCTCTATCTGTTGTTCTGGTTCGCGTAGGGAAATGTTTACTACCAGGTTGGAGTAGTCTTGACAACGGAAATCGATGGCTGGAGATCTGAATTGGTATTTTTCATAGTTGATTACTATGGCATAGATTTTTCTACACTTGATATTCACCTTGACGTTTATATCACGTTTCGTCATTGTTTTACCCTCTTTTTTTGTTCATATGAATTTCACCAACTTTTGATTGTATTTTCGTTTTTTTGCTTTATATCTTGACGGATTTAGGTGAGTTGTGGGGATTTAGATGATGATGTAACAATGCCGGGTTCTATGTTGGCGTTGTATCCTGAGGAATGCTCATAGCAAATCTGTAATGAAACCACTGGGTTCTAGAGGTGACTAAGTCATCACGGAACCTGAAGTCCCCGTACTTCATCTAGCACTAAGTCGTGTACTTTTTGTGCAGCGTCTATAGTGTTTCTTATCTTTTACTGGGTCCGCCGTGAATATCACTTCATGATGGCAGTTGCCCAAATAAGCACCAATTCTTCAAAACTAATAGACTCTACTGTGTTTTGCTATAAATATGTTGCACTTTTCTGATACAACATTCATAACTTCCGTATTTTTGTTCCCAAAATATATCTCTAGCCTATATTTCTGGCTTATTATGCTTATCAGCGGAATTTTTGGTTTTGCAATCGGTTATGTGAGCACACTACAGATACAAGTGACCAGCCCACTAACCCACAATGTTTCTGGCACAGCTAAAGCGGCTGCACAAACAGTATTAGCAGTGATTGTTTATCATGAAATCAAATCTATACCGTGGTGGGCTAGTAATATTGTTGTGTTGGGTGGCTCAGCAGCCTATGCAGTTGTCCGACATTCAGAGGGTAAACAAAAGTCGATGGCAGTATCAATGGTGAATCAAATGATGAATGATCCTTACAATGATGGTGACAGCAGTAAACACAGTTTGATCAATAATTTGATCACTGGTCGTGATGAAGATAATGATGATATTAATGATAAGATATTTGATAAAAGCAGTCTACCAATATCTCAAATTGGGATGGTTTGATAATATTATTTTGTACTTATGTTGATAAGTATTGTGACTGTATTTTGTATTTTTCTGTGTTTCTGAAAGCTAGCTAGTGTAGACACATTTGGCTGTGATAACAAATAAATACATTCATCGGTTTTGGAGTAGCGGAGACGTTTTTTATTGTCCTAATTACTATTGTTTATTTCATGAATCGTTATATCTCCTTCAGAAATTATTGGTTTCTTCTTTTGAGGATTCGTGCATGGAAAAGGATGAACCTATAAATGCTTATGCCTCATGGATTTTTTGAAATACAAGTGTTTCACTTGTGATTTAGACCATCCTTTTAATGTCAGCGGACAGTATTTTCACTGTGGTAGTGTGTTAAGATTTATTATTATTATCACTGTTTATTGCTTTTCCCTTGGGTTCCTAGTGGAACATAGGGCTTCAGTAGCACGCTTCCATTGCACTCTGTTTTCGGCAGTCTTTTGAACCTCACTCTACAACTGCCCACAAGCTTTCATTCCTTCCTCACACCATCTCCTCCATGTCACCCTCGGACGCCCAACTCCTCCTTTCCCATTTGGCTTCCACTCGATGGCCTGACCTGGCGTGTGATGTCCCCAATCAGTCTTCTCAGTGTATGCCCAATCCAATCCATCTCCACTTCCTTCTGCATATTTGTTGTGTGATAGGTTCTTGGTTGGTTCGTTCTCAGAGTTCCTTGTTGCTTATTCGTTCTGGACATCTGATCTTTAGTGTCAGTGTCGAGTGAGCGTAGACGGCAGCTGTTGATGAATGTCTGTAGTTTGTTGGAAGTGCTTCTCGTGACGCGACAAGTTTCCGAGCCATATAGAAGCACTGACTTGACGGACATTAGTATTGAAAGTATGGATCTTGTTCACACTTTATGCTGAGTGCAGTTGACCTCCACACTAGTTTCAGATTAGTGAAGGAAGGTCTGTCTTTCTGTGCTTCCGATCGTGGCTTTGACGTCCTCAACTGTATCACCACCTGTAGTTGAAAGGATGCTGCCCTGCCTAGGTAGTAGGTGAAGGAGGCTACTTCCTTTAGGTTTCTCCCGTTGATGGTGATTGATGCTTAATGTTGATGTTGTTGTAGGTTGGGTGTCATCATCACCTGTGTCCTCGCTACGTCCACTTGAAGTCCCGTCCTCGCTGTCTGTTCTGTTAACTTGTTGGTTTTAGCCTGTAGATCTTCGAGATTGTGCCACAAAACAGTAGAGACAAATCATGATCGGTGAAATCCGAATCCTCTGGAGTCTTTTCATCGGTCCAGCCAGCGTATGCCCATCTCACAGTTTGTTGCATAACCCAGTCGACCACAATCAGGAAGATGATCTGTGATAGTAGACGGGAGCCTTATCCTACTCCTGTCCCCTGTCTTCACTTCAAAGGCGTCAGTGAGCTTTCCATTGTGAATCATTTGGCATGTAGCATCATCATGAGGTTGATAAAGGTTTGTGACACTGAAACCGTAGTGTTGAAGCACCTCCCTGTCAAATTGCTTCTCGGTCGACGCTGTCGAAGGCCTTTTCAAAATCGATGAAGTTGAGGTGAAGATCCAGTCGACTGTCATTCTATGCTCTGTTCTGTGATGATGCGTATCGTTGCGTAGTGTTTCAATCTGGTCCAAACATGATTTGTTCTTCCTGAAGCCAGCCAGCCAGCCTGTTCCAGTCGTAATTTTGAACCCAGAGCATTTTTGGTCACTCCAGGATGATGTGGTTTAATATTTTGCTTGCTTTGAGTGGACAGGGATGGAACATGATTCGGCGCCAGTTCTTGCAAAGACTTGGGCCACCCCTCTTTAGAGTTTGACAAGGTAGTCCTTCTTCCAATCAATGGCCAGGTACCTTTCCTTTCTTTCTTTCTTTCCTTCTTTCTTTCTTTCTTTCCTTCTTTCTTCTTTCTTTCTTTCTTTCCTTCTTTCTTTCTTTCTTTCCTTGTTTCTTTCTTTCTTTCCTTCTTTCTTTCTTTCTTTCCTTCTTTCTTTCTTTCCTTGTTTCTTTCTTTCCTTTTTTCTTTCTTTCTTTCTTTCTTTCTTTCCTTCTTTCTTTCTTTCTTTCCTTCTTCCTTTCTTTCTTTCCTTCTTTCCTTCTTTCCTTCTTTCTTTCTTTCTTTCTTTCTTTCTTACAAACCTCGTTCAGTAGTGGTGTGGTGTGAGCATGTCCGCCGCTGTTGTCTCTGAGTCTGCTTTCAGTGCTGCTGCTTTCCTGCATTACACCGACTTTATGGCGTTCAGGACTTCGACTTTTGTCAGAGGGCTTGTGTTCACTGGCAGTTCTGCAGTTGCCGGTGGTATTTCTGGACAACTTGCAGGTAGTGGTGGTGGTTGATTCAAGAGTCTTCTGAAGTGGTCAGCCCATTGTCTCATTTATTTCTCCTCTTTCGTGACTAGCTTTCCTTCACTATTTCTCATTGGTTTCATCTGAGTTGATCTCTTCCCTACTACATAGTGAGTGACCTGGTCATTTGATACAATGTTGTCAGGTCTTTGTCTCTACTACCAGCAGCCTATTCTGGTTCGATTTAACTATTTTGGGAATATTTTTGAAATTATAACTTGTTGGTTGGTCGGCACCTATTTGCATGTGAGCTGTTATTAAGATGCCTAGATATTGCCGGTATTTTCAGTCCTGATTTTAATGATGGGTAGTGACTGGTAGTGAAGCCCAAGACGCGTGTTTCTTCCTATTTAAGACTTATCAGCTGGGTGTACCTGCCTCTAAGTGAATGATGTTGTTCCCACTGAGACTCGAACCCAGGACCAACCACTTCAAATACCATTATATGCATAATTAATATCAGAATTGAAGATACCGCAGATATCGAGGCATCCACACACAGGTCCATACGCCAATAGTGGCCAATCGATTCGGTCGAATCAACAAGGTATAACATCTATGCTACATCTGTCGCATAATTGGTGGTTATTATGACTCAGTGACCTAGTGGAGAAGGCTGTGGCGTTTGAAACAATTAATTCTGAGCTGTAGTCTTAATGAGAACAACACTCATGGATGTAGCTGACAAGTTCAAAACAGGACGAGATAGCTGTCCACTGCTTCCAGGTTTCCAATGTTCTTCCAAATGATGTCAGTTCATGATGAATTCCAACCTAAAATTAATTAATAAATCTCCACAAACCTCCGGATAGAATTCGTAAAAATGATCCTTAAAGTGATGCGAATCTTTGACAGATAGCAAGACTATTGTCTTGAATTAAAATTGAAAAGTTGAGTGTCATTAAGTATCAGCAAGTATATATGAGAGAAATTTAAAATTAGTAATCGATAACTACATCTCTTATACGCATAAAATTGATCGAGATTTAAGTATCCTAAATATGATATACTGCCATAATGGTTGAGAATTGACAATAAGTGTCTGTGATCAGTTTCATATGAATAAGCAGCTATTTGATAATTGCACTAGTTCATGCTAACTTGGTCGATAACATTGATGAGTTAGTGCTTAACTAGTAGAATATTTTACTGTCGCTTGATTTTTTTTACACTTATCGAACACATTATTATCAAGTAATGAAGGCAGTTTTAAAATTTTCTCTGACAATATATAAACTTGCAGTTATCGATTCACGTCAGTGTGTTGTGTGTAGTGTCGTGATATCATCTGTCTGTAAACAAAATTGAAAAGGGAATCAGTTCTTGTATAAACGAAAAGCATTCATATTAATGAAAAAAAATTATTTTATTATAATTGTCAGTTATCAAGTAACAGTCACTTGTACAGAGCAGGTTGTTCCAACCTCGAAATAGCAAACTTGTACCACAAAGATGAATTTACTATCTGCCTGAATACTGTATTCCTTTGAATATCTTAATGTTAGGGAACTGATTGTTATTGCCAACTGACTAATGTCATCTGAAGCATCAATCAAACTTGGCTAGCGCTCCACAAGTTTGTCTCTGTGGTGCAACTACCCCTCTGTCATTTACCCTTCTCTCCAATCCATAATGTTTGGATTCCGATCTTGAAATAGGGTGATAGATTTGTCTAACTTTTATTGATATTTGGTGCTTTTGCAAGTGACACTGATTTTTTGTGTCATTTGTGCTCAAAAACTGTATTCAGATTGGTATCCATTGTCATGTTATTTTTAACTTGACGTTAATTGTTTAGTGATGGCTATCATTTGCGACTCAAGACCTGTTTTCCATCCTGTTTGTAACCTGGCAGTTAGATGAGTTCGCAACTTTTTACATGTTAATATTCTTACTGAATTTTGACCAGTATGCCTGAATTTAAAAATACGAGAGCGTTATCTACTAGGTTGCTGTATTTCTGAGAGTTGCCCGTTGTGCAGCACTTATTGGTTGTTATTTTTAGTCATTTTATGTTCACATAGCTAAAGCAAATTAGTCGACCTGTGGTAGCAGTTTTATGGTGATATTGCGTATCTCCGACCTTATAACACGGTGTAACACTACATAATAAATCTATTTGTGTATTATTTGAGCATTAGTGTGCTTATTAGAAAAGACTACTGATTGTGACCTCTGCGAAATGTGAAATTCCTCTGTAACGATTCCTGTTTTGTGCGATATAATTAAACTAATTTGAAGCCAAGAAAGGAAACACGTTAACCTCAACCTTAAATAATACTACCTTATGCATAATATTGACTAAAATACTGAAATTCCAGTGTTATATTTTGCAACAGAGATGCAAATAAAATGTTTTTTGATTTTTTTGTTTATTATTGGTAATTATTTTCAGTTTAACCGTACTAGTTCGACACAAAACCATCATATTTCGCTTATTTTTAGGACAAAAATTGATGCACACCATATTTCAGGTGTTCATTACTAGTTAATCAATAGAAATTCACATTCAAATATTGGTGAGTGTTGAATGTTTAAAGTTTAAGATAATCTCACATTTTAGGTGTGCTTCGCTATGAATAATGGAAGTGGTCGATTTCACTTAGAATCATACAACAAAGTTATTACTCATATATATATATATATATATATATATATATATATATATATATATATATATATATATATGGATGCTGCTGATAAGGATGAATATAAGTAGTATATGTTGAGAGGGCGGCAGAAGTCACAGGTAATTACCAGCGATGGGTGAATATTCTGCCCAGGAAAGGTAAGAGGCAATGCGGGCGTATGAAGAGAAAATCGTGGTAGGAGAAGAAGAGGAAATGAAACACATTGTGCTAATGACTACTTTAATAAAAAGTTTTCAGTATTTCATCAGTACTGTACAAAATGTCAATAAACATTCTATCCTGCATCTGTCTTTGTCGTTTATTACAAGTGTATGTATAAAAATTGTATTTTGTATACATTTTCGTGTATTGGGAACAAAACAATCCCAACATATCCCCAGGCAGTTTGTTCCCAGACTCCTAAAATGTTATTTCCTTGGAAC